TGGGCACATTACAAGCAGACAAGGAACTCGGGCATCGCTCCAATAACGTAAACGAGAATAGTGTCCCCCGTGTAAGGTATACTGCCTCCTGTGGTAGCTCAATGCGAAGTCATTTATGGGGTTACGAGGGTTTGACTCCTCGTGTCTGAATGGTGACTCGACGTAGATCTAGGGTGTTTTTTATTCCATCTCGCTCCGTTCTCTGCCGTGTCCGGATAATGCCTCAAAGAATCGGTTGAATCGGATCAATTCTGTTCGATTCGCCTCAAAACGTCGCCTCCATGGTGATAATCTCAGGCCGGGGACCAAGGCAAAAGGACTGAGACACGTCGTAAATATAAAGAGCGAACAACCTATGCAGGCCGAGGCACAATCGAGATTTGAGAGTAATACACAATCATTTAAAACGTAATTCGGGATTCGAAGGCCCTCCTCTTAGACTGGATCTGCGCTCCGAATTTGTATCTATACTTCCCTTGGGCCAAAAAGCAAAATTCAATGCCAGCCTATCCGGCTTCGCAGGACGAGGGATATGGCGTATGGATTAGCGCCTCGGGAATTATAGTTCAACTGAAAAGCCAAGTTTAAGAGGCTGCCGGAGTTCGACTCCCCGCCATCGGATTCGAGCTACACCATGTGTTTGTGTTTTGCCTAGATCGCGTCCAACTAATTTCTATCCAAGTCAGTGAACTAAGTGACTACGGTGACAACTTTGCGGTCAACTTACGAATCCCAACCAAAAATTTCCGAATACATGACAAGAGGGAATTACAGCGAGAATAAAATAAATGTATGTCGTACTTTCAGTCTATTATTGCACTGTCGTCTGCGATTGCGCCACTGCCACATCGACATTAACCGACTGGTCGGGGTTCACGGTCGTGTGCGTCACAATCGTTGTCGACCCAGCCCAGTCCGGCCCCAGCGCCTTCACCCGCGCGACTTCGACAATGTCCGTCTCGCTCCCGCCGTGCCCCGCAAGCCGCCCCACACTGTCTGACACCATCTTGCGCACCATGCCGCGCTGCAGCAGCCCCGAGCCAGGGAGCTTCGGGAGGCCGAGCCGGGAGACTGTGGAGTTGGCGATGGCGTCCGCGGAGGCGTCATCGGCGTCGGAGAGGCCGAAGCGCGCGGCCCATCCGCGCAGCTGGGAGCGGAAGCCTGCGTTTGGGTGCGCGATGCTGCGGCGGTCTTTGGCGTAGGCGATTGCTTCAGCGGCGGTGAGGCCCTTTGCGGCAATGAGGTAGGCACAGACGACGGAGATGCTGCGACTCAGGCCGCCGAGGCAGTGGACCTAGCGACCGAAGCAATATCAGCCCCCTAGTATTGAATACACAACCCTCAATCAAAAGACATACGAGAACTTTTGTGCCTTCCTTTGCCAGCGCATCCCGAATGAATTTGGTCGTTTTCTCAAAGTGATCCGAGATGTCGGCGATGGGTAGGTCGACGATACATACGTGCATATGTGCAATCTTGCTGCTGACGATCGGCGGGATTTCGCACACGCTCACGACATGCGTCACACCGAGGGCGTCCAGGGCGTCCCAGTTTTGGGCAACAAACCAGTCGGCGACGAAGACGCGCGGTGTGATTTCGCTTGTGACGATGGTTCCCATGCTCGCGTGGAGGGCCGAGAGTGGGTTCTGCTTCAGAAGCGAGGACGGAGAGAGCGGAGACGAGGTAGAGAACATGTTGCGCTGGTTGAAGGAGGTGGGGCGGGATGGGTCAGTGGTTGAGTGTGTCCGGCAAAAACAGCATTCATTTTGGATTATCTTTTTAACTTTCAGGCCGCAGCATTTTGACTGTCGAGACTCCACGGCGTTCGTTTCAGCTGCCAAATACGATGTCAAAAAAGTCGCGGTAAAAATGAGTCGCCGCCGCGGAGAAAGACGGATATATGGTTTCATCTGGCGCCCAATTGCGGGACGTTCGGGGCTACAGATTACCGGCCGGAACAGGCAAGAGCTCCAGGAAGGACGTGGTTGGAGAGGCTGCCGCCCACGGCTGTGAAACTGGATCTGATGGGATTGATCCGTCGGGATTGCCTTTGTCTGCCACCGCATCTCTCCAGAAGGACTACAAAATTCAAACGAAGACGTTTTCTAGAACTTGGCCACCATAGAAGCATCGAAACTTGCTTTTTGGGCTAGCTGAACGCCTCGGTGGCAAGCTTTCTGCCATGTCGGCTTCTGCGAGGACGTCGGATGGAGCCAGTTGGTCAGTAGACTCAGCACTGGCATGCTTGTCCACTTGAGGTTGCCGACTCAATACTGATTAATATCTTGGATGCCGTTCAATATTAATCTCGAGACGCCACAGGATGCCCGTCGACGGCGTCCAGTCGAACTCACTATTGGATGCACACCTGGAACGCCCGCCTCTCATGAACCCTAATCCACATGAACCCTGACAGTATGTACGCTTCCATCAGTCATTTCTCGCTCCCGAATACACCACTCTCCGTCTACCGGCACTTTGACAACGCGTATGTAGTGGGTAATTCTCAGGTACCGCCGATATGTCGAATGATCCTAAACTCTTTCTGGAGCCCTTGGCTGAGTTCTCTGATGACTGTCCTTCATTCATCCTGCCGAAGACTATGTCGCCTGCGCCCCGTTGGAAGAAGAAAGCAATTTATCTTTCATGGGCGGCACAGGTCCAATTTCCGATAGACTAGCGACACCCACGGTCCGGTGCTTTACTGCATTTGGACTATCATTCGACCTGTCTGCCAATTTTTGAAATTTGACTCCGACGAGGCCATTATTGCTATTTAACCACCCTATGTGCCTTTTCCTTCTGTCAAGTGAACGATCACGCTCTGCATCGGACCATACACGCTCACCGTCATGCTGAACTTCAAACTTCCCGGTCTCCCAAGCCTCGACCAGATAATCAACCAGAGCCCGCTCGCGCAGGCTGCGGGCGTTACAGGAGCCGCGCTGCTCGGTGTGGCTGACAAGCCTACTGTTACGCAGGGTGCGTTGAGTCCATCATCCATCCATGTTTTATGCTTCAGCTGAATGCGCGCGCCCGCAGCGGTTTACGACGATCTGGTACATTACTTCAAGTACGCATCGACGGCCTACGCAATCATCCTCCCTGGGCCGCCGTTAATTCCAGTGCGGCCGAATGGGCAGAAGCTCTGCGCCAAGGTATGCTCGTTTTCTTCGTATATATCTTCAGTATTCACGGCCCTCATACATGTGCATCCAGATGTTCGACCTAATCTCCGACACACACGGATACGTCGCGCGAGACGACACACGGAAGGAGATCGTCGTGGCGTTCCGCGGCACGTAAGTTCATTTTTTTTTGCGGAACACAAACACATCAAGCTGATTCAACTTGCACAGAGTTACTCCGGCGAACTTCATCACAGACGCGCTCGGGATGCTCGTCGACTGGGACTCGACGCACAGCAAGGTCGTCGCTCCTGGTGGGTGGCTCTTCAATTAATCTTTCTTCATTCTGGGGCTCAGATAACAAATTGCTCAGCCGGAACGAAGGTTCACTTCGGGTTCCAGAAAGCGTGGGTTTCTTATGTTTCATGCCTATCATCCTTCAGTTTCCCGAACTCGTTTTAGATGGTCAACCGTATCGGATAAAACCTTGTCAGCCGTAACAGCCGAGCTCGCCGCGCACCCTGGCTACACCATCGTCGTCACAGGTCACTCGCTCGGCGGGGCATTGGCATCGCTCGCCGGAATCACCTTGCAGATGACTTTCCCAACTGCGTATGTACCACTCCAACAAGCTGTTGATGTTTTTTATCGTTCCTCAATCATCCTTGATTATTAGGGTGGTGAAGTACTACACGTACGGGCAGCCGCGAACGGGGAACATCACCTATGCGACATGGGTGAACACGCTCATTGGGCCGGAGAAGTCTTTTAGAGGTGACCTTTAATTACTCAATTTAACCACACATAATCTCATCTCGATCCTGCACACAGTCGTCCACTCAAACGATGGGTGAGTTGCCACGCCTATTTCTGCGCAATATCTACATACTAATTCCGGTATCATAGAGTACCAACAATGGCACCAGAAATGCTGGGATTCGTGCACCACAGTGAGTTCATCGTCCTCTGATTTGTGCTCCTGACCCACGATGACTCGCAGGTACGGAATACTGGGCCCTATCCCCCCACTCGCCGCAGCAGACACGCATCTGCAACGCCGCTGGTCTGCTCGAAGACCCCATGGGCTCCAAGAAGATCCCGACCACTGGCATTAACCCCGCACATCTTTCGGTATGCATTTAGGTCGTCCCTTTCACTCAAAGCCAAACTGACCATCCCATCTACGCAGTATTTCGGCATATTCTACATGACGCCGTACTTGATTTGAGGAATTTAAATATATCTAGAGAATATCAATTGTATGGTATATCCTTAATTAATTATTGTTGACCGCCTCGAAACTCTCATGTTCAAATGTGTACCAGGATCAGGAAGCCAACAGGAAGCCGGAAGGTCTTTGTACAGTCTGATTGTCCATAGTGTGAGCGTGTGATATATGCAAGCAAGCTCAGTAGCGCATGGGCGCACCTATAACTCGTAGCTCTCGAAGATTTGCTTATGCAGTGTTCCCGACTGCCCGTTCGATTCGGGGCTGAGCCGTGTGATGTCTAAGACTTTCTTTTTCTCCTGGGAGAGACTTGAACCAAGATTTGGTGGTATGCTGCCAGAAATCGAAATACCTCGAGGCAGGATAAAGGAAAGGATGTACTACCAGGACCAGTGGCCGCTTCGAGCCTGTGCTGAAATTTGAACTGGGACAGCCCCGTTCCTCTTGCGTTGATCTTGGAGCACAAAGAGACGGAGAACAGCAGAGTACATGAGCTGTATCAACTAGAACAGCGAGGCTTCGCAGCGAATCTATCGTCTAGTAGCATCGGCAAGTTCCGGTCAATCTCCCACGGTTGACTAACAGTTGTACCGGAAGGAATCTCACAAGGTGATACACATACGTCATATTTAGTGCAGTGGAAAGGCTCGGCAGTGCGTTGGCGCACATATACCTCATATATCTGTTTGACGATGAAAGAGTTTAGTAGAAGGACCTTGTTCAATTCGGGGCTGAGCCATGCACTGGTAGGGGGATATTTTTTAAAACTTAGTTTTCAATTTCGGAGCAGATCCATGCTTAGATTCCGACGCAGATAGGATTCAGAGGCCGGGGAACGCCGGGACTTTTGTGTAGCGGTGAATATCAGATCCCCACGTCCAAGTTGGCCCTTGGGCACGATAGAGAGCGCTCGTTTGATTCAGGGCTGAGTCTACAGTGGAAAGGCTCAGTAGCACTGGAGTGCATCTACGCAGTATGTCTTGTCGGCGTGCTTACTATAAGTAGAGAAACCCTGTTCGATTCGGGGCTGAGCCATGCAAGCGGAAGGGAATGCGGCTGCCCTTTTTTTTGTTGGAGAAATGCATGCGAACCGCAAGATTGCTGAGAACTACTGTAGAGGCCCACGGCTGGAAGGCTACCAGGGCTACCACCGGCTACTGGAAACTGGCGGGGCGGCTACTGGCGCTCCCGACTGTTCATACCCCTGGCCTGCAGCTACCTAGTAAAATACTGTTTCCTGATCAAGTTCATTTTCCCCCCTTCCTGGGTTGCTTTATTTCCCTAGTCTTCCCTTTTCACGTGAACGTGCGCCAAGCACACGATGTTTCCTAGAGTTTGCATGCTCTCGTTAGAGCTCCAGTATCTGGAAGACAATAGGAGCCTCGTGTTGTAGTCCGCAGCTTGACTAGTCAGCAGTTCCGTCCGTTGATTTGAATGGTTTTCCATTACAACCATTTCTCGGCCACATTCGTGTCGCCGCTGAAGACCCATCTGTATTCCTTCCCAGCGTCTCTCTGTGGGCCTCATTATTTCTTCTCTCGTTTGTTTCGTTCCTTGTTTTAGATCTTCTTTAGCTCGAACGGCTGCGTGGCATGCCTTATTTCTTCCAGAAAAACCGACAAAAATTTACTTTGAAGGTAATCATAACCACAAGAATTACAAACTTCATCGAACAAGAAACATCCAGGTATGCGGAGAATGATAAAAACGAGACCAAAGAAATTCAGTTTATGACTCTTAATCCGAGATGACTTCGGTATGAGAGCATCCTAAACTTCTCAGTCAATGACTATGCCTAAATCATACAGTATCAGCAGAGGAGTTTCAGTTAGGCGTCGCTTACGGTACCTGAAGCAAGTTCCATAACATATCCAGCGATTCCCTCGTCGACGAATCCTTGGTTCTTGATTGCATCGTCCCTATCCGCAGCGGAAGTTGTGTATAGGTAGTCCGTATTTGCACCAATAAAATGGGCGCGGTAAAGGGGGACGCTTCCACAGACCTGGAGAAGACCTGATTATTCAAGGTATTCCAACGCAGCGGGGGGCGACAGACCTGAGTGGGATAGATATAGCCCGTGATCCCGAAAGCCAAATAACCACCCGCTGTAAGCGCGTTGGAACGTTCGGTTTCGGAGGTGGTATAGAAGAAGGATGTCGCGCGTCTATTGATGAGACAGTAAAAAGGAACCGTTGACAGTTCGGCGGTGGGAAAAAGCAGGGCTGCGACGCCAGTAAATGCGTACACGCCTTCTTGAAGCGTGGCAGTCACGTTGGAATTGTCTGCCGTGTAGTAATGAACCGTCTGCGCCTTGTCGTACATCTGAAACAGCGGAACCAAGTCTGTGATATTACCACAAGTTTCAGGCGATGCCTAGGAAAGATGAACATGACGTCAGGCACGACATTCGGAAGAACTGTTGGAAAATAACTACTTACTTGAGTTCGATGACTTATTGACTTCGACGGCTCCGAGAGACGAGTTCCGTGCACCAACGACACGATGGTGAGGAGCAAGGAAAAGAGGGCGGTCTTCATGTCGGTATTGACTTCGATGACCAGTGCTAAAGAACCGACTGTCTTTATACGGTTGAAGTTTCTCGACCGGTCCAGTGTTTTACCGAATAGACAGACAGCCTGAACTGAAAAGAAAGCCTTCCTCTGTATGGCCCTCCAAGCGGCCCGCCAACTCAGACATGCAGCATGATCAGTCCGAGAACATGAACGATCCTTAACGGGAAAGGAATTTTCAACTTTGGCCGGTACGCTCAATTGGCTGCATCGTAGGCCTCTGGATCTGTCTTCTTCGGAATCATCACGAGAATCTGGGAAGGAAATTCTTGAAACATCGCGAGCAGCTTTGGAAATCCAATCGACTGGTTTGTTACTCGGATGTTGGCTGACACGCGCTCGCCGCTGAGTTCGCGGCAGCGGTAAGCACAAGTTAGTGTGGGGTTGAATTCTACACGCAGATCATGAATATGGCTTAGCGTCTCTTGAGGGCGTCTCGGTGACGATATGCTCCCTAGACCAGATAGAACTTAATTGATCCAGAAAGTTGGCGTAGGAATGCTTTGCCTGTCAAGAACTCGGGTCTAGAAGAGAATGGTCCGAGAAGTCTTGGAAGTCGGGACCTCGGGGTGCCGGTGCCACAAAGAATGCGCGTCCGGCACCCACAATTGTTCGATGCAGATTTTTGATCTTTGGCTGGCTTAGCAGGGTATCTTGATACCCTTTCGATGGAATAGGGAATTAGAAATCACCTCAGGAATCTTGTTGGGTTGATTCAAAGAAAAGACGGAGAATTGGGTAAGGGAGCACTATCGAAATAAAAATTTCACCGATAGAGGAGGGACTGGCGGCGTTAGTAGCTCACTACTTGGGAATTTCAGAATTGGTCTGAAAGAGACTGAATTAGAAACCCTACCAGACCGAACAGGACGAGCAGGAGCTGGGATACGATGCCTGAACTGGCGTGAAGCTAAGTACCAAAAAGGTAGGTTTAATCGTTTGTTTGCTGCATCGATGGCTCGTAGGTTATTTTAGCCGACCTACGCTATTCTACGCGAAATTATGTAGGAGTGCCCGTTTGGATAGCGTGCTCCATAAACTCCTAACCTCATATATCCGTGGATTTTGGGTGGTTGGAATGCTGAGTAACAACAAGCATGATCAGACGCCACCGGTCCCAGAAAATTCCGCATGTGCATGATCCTGAAATGTTTCACCGACAGAGCAAATTGGAACTATAAGGTCAAATACATTGGTGCTTAGCCTTTGGCGGAAGCAACAAGGCTTGGGAGCCGCAGGCAGTCTAGTATAACTCGGGACAAACAAAGAGGAGTTTGAATTTTGGTAGGGATATTGAGTGACACACTGCAAGCGCAAGGAACTTCGGTGTCAGAAACGCAATATTTCATCCGAGCCCAAGTCTATGTACTGACAGCGACAGAGAAAAAGGGAGCCACCCAACCACTAACGACCCAACCCCCGAATCGAACGGCTGATTCATCGAGTACATTCGCACAGCGGCGTGCGGACCGTCCACTATTGGGTCTCGCTCGTCATTCTGTGTCGGCTTGTATCAAGTGGATAATTTGAGGCTGAGTCTACAGTGGAAAGGCTCAGTAGCACCGGAGTGCATCTACACACCGTATTTGATTGGGTGTTGCCCTATAAGTATGTAGAGAGCCCCTGTTCAATTCAGGGCTGAGCCATGGGTCAAAATCCAGTAAACCTTTTTGGACAAACACATGTGAGGAGCTACTAGAGGAGTGCATAGAGAGAAGGGATGCTGGTGCTGGATCAACACAAGACAGATGAGGATTTCAGTGGGCAGGATTTGGCTGAGCGGAGATTGCAATGAATCGAAAGCAGACTGAATGTGATACATACATACAGCATATGAGCTCGAACACAGTAGAAGTAGAAAGGCTTGGTGGTGTGCTAGTGCACATCTACCTCATCTGCTTTGACAGTCAAAGAGTTTAGTAGAAGGACCCTGTTCGATTCGGGGCTGAGCCATAGGCCAATGAGTACAGGTTGTTTTTTTGGAAAGCCTTTTTCGATTCCAGAACGGACTTGGGCTTAGATTGGCCGGGACAACGCGAATTAGCAGGTTGGGCGGTTGGAGCGAGGATGTTCTATGTGACTTTCTGTGGCGATACAATTGGAAAACTGCCCACATCCAATGGCCAAGAGAGCGCTCACTGAAGCGGTGGTGTTCAGAGATGACTCCGAATCAGGGAGGACAATGTTTAATCCAGCCCGAGATTCCAGGCTACGAGAATCCAGCAGCAGTGAAGTCAGTTTCGATGTAGACAGTGGCGGTCTGAAGAGGGTGAAAAATGAACAAGAAAGGAATAGACAAGTGCGAGGTACCAAGCAAAGGTGAAAAGCTCGGTAGCGCTGGAGCGCATCTACGCAGAGTCAACCGCTAGCTTGAAAAATTGACGTATAGAACCCCGTTCGAATCGGGGCTGAGCCATTATGGTGGTATGCGAACATTTTTCTTCTTCTTTCTAGCGAGTAGGATGGCCACTGCAGATCAGATATTCAAGAGAGCGAATATTATCAAGGCGAACTTCGGCGCTGAAGGCAGTTTGAGTTGATTGGTTCGTCGCGGCGATCCCCGAACACGTCACGGTGCCTGCCTGTCATCAAACAAGCTTTATTTAGCGGTCCCCCAAATCTTTAGCTTCCGACTTTACCTCAGTGCGCGTGATATGGCGTCCTCGACGCCCGCCGCGTCCATCACACGCTCCGCGACCCTCTCGACGTCTCCGGGGTCGTCTCTCAATATTCCTGATTCTTGTGCGTCGCGATATCTTGGAATGAAGTAGTATTTATTGAATTGGATTGGATTGTGCAGCAGCGACCGTGGAACCACTATACCAGGTCAAGCTGCTCTCTGCGCTGCCCATTTGCCGACTCTCACTGATGTTCTCCCCGATTCCACTCCGTCATTTCTTGCTAACTTCTTACTCAGATATTCTTATATGCCTTCCGGCTGGCGCTGGGGTACATTCCAAATATTATTCTGTCCGGTACTCAGCCCTCCAAAAAATAATTCCTTGGCATCTCACTTATCCGTCATCTTTCTCATTTATCTCTCCCACTCAACGAGGTCTTCTGCATAATACTTAGGCTACAAAAACAAAACCCGAGAGAACGAACCGCACACTCCCCACAATCATACATCTAGATGACAAATGTGCTGCCTGTGACCTAATTAGACTAA